ATTGTCGCCTCACCGCACAGGCTCCATAGGAAATGAATGGAGAGCGAGTGACGTCGCCTCCCGTGTGTCGAGCCCTTTAGCCCTGACGCTATCACCATATATATGTATTTGCTCTGTGCTACACATTCTCCTTTCGTCACTGATGTCCTCCATCCACATGACAGAGAGTCATGTCTACCTTCTCCTCTCTGTCAACGCTCTCTGGTTTCATTTAAAAGAGTCGATCATCAGATATTGTCCAAGATTAACCTTCAGGGTGGATATAGCTCGCTCACACCGAGGACCTATCCACGTCATCATTTACCCAGAATGCTTCATGTGTAAATAAAATGGCTCCATCCGTGTTAAAATATAGTATTAAAAATTATAAAAACTAAACAGCCTACAGTATTTTTTACAGTCTTTATTTTACAGTTAAAATTTATGTTTATCAAATAAAGTCTAATGTTACAATTAATCGGGGATCCCTTGAAGCTCAAAAGCGATGAAATTTTGTCAAATTACAGACTTTAAGCTAAACATCAATTTTTAAATTGTGTCGACAGTCCAAGTAAAACCTGAGTTATGTTGAATAAATTACAGAAGTTTAAAAAAAAGTTTTTCTCATTTGAAGCAGAGAGGAGCGTCGAGCGAACTGACCGGGGAAATCGATTAAAGTTTTTCTGACCATTAATTGCACACGACACGATTTTGCCCAACCCTACTTGCTAACAGTGAATTATCTATGATCTCGTCTGTTTGTGTTAGTGAAATATGTGACATGAGGGCTCCTAAAGTAACTGCTGTGTTTTTCCTGCAGAACCAGGAGCAGGCTGAAGAGACGGACGAGGACAACACTGAAGGTAAAACTGTGCACTGGAATTATTTTATTAACACAAAGTGAACTCTGTTCACTTTAATCCACTTAAACTTTTTAAAACAAATATGGAACAATTAACTGCAAAATATATATTTCACATATTTTGTGTGTACTAGTGTGATGTATTTGTTGTGAAACTGAGTGATATTAAGAAGTCATGAATGATTTAAGGTTAAAGCTGATTTTAGCAGTCTGCTGTTAACATGATTTTGGCATTGATTTTACAGATTCATTCATAAAATCAATGTTTACTACTGATGTTTATAAATCTATTGTGTGGCCTGTACCAGAACCCATCCCTGAATGTGACGTGGAGCAGTGGAACAAAGAATTCATGCAGCGAAGTGAAGAACTTTACGATGCCATGATGGACTCTCACTGGGAGCCGCTGGACTCTCCTGACTCCCCCATCCCCACTTCCTCTTGATATTTTCTTTCTCTCTAACCACAAATGCTTTCTTTGTAAATGTTTTATACTTCCAACATATGCCACCTTATAAACATCAGCAGGAGTCGCCTGTACTGGTTGTAAGTACAGAAACACTGGTTGTACTGCGAATACTGCACAGATGTGAACTCACTTGTCTTGTTTACCATGTTGGTAACACACAGGAAGTTTGTCAACACAGTGCAGTGTGTGGATCAGGCAGTTTGATACATCAGAACCACCTGAAAATGATGATGACGACTGCCGGTCATTTATTGTCGACTCATCTTGAAATGACCAGAAAAATAATTTTCTTCAGTCTTTGAAAAACATAAATTCAGTCTATGCCTTTATTGTTGTTTGCCATTGTACTTCCTGTTGGTTTAGAGTCATTAGAAATATTTAGTAGGTAAGACAATTCATTCTTAGACATGCACTAATTAGAACTCCAGTCAATTCAGGTAAGTTGTTTGCAGTCATGGTAAAAATAATATTGCCATTTTTCCTAAATGTAACTGATTATAATTTAAATAATGGTTACATCTGACTGGAAGGGTTCCCTGGTTAACAGAGAGAAAGTTATTAGTACTTATGAGCAAAAAATAATTACCTCCTCAACATTTTTAATGCTATAAAAGTGCAGCATGTCTTCCTCGAGTGGTCTCTTAGTTGGACGTGCCTGGAAAACCTCCCTGAGGCATCCAGGGGACGTCATTAGCAGATGTCCAAACTCCTTCCACTGGTTGGTTCCTCTCGATGTGGAGGAGCACCGACTCTGAGCCTCTCAGATAAATGATCTTAACATATCTAAGAGAGACTCCAGCCACTCTGCAGAGAAAATTCATTTTCACCGCTTTTATCTGAGATCTCATCCTTTTGGTCACCGCCCAAAGTTGGAGACCACAGTTGGGTTAGCGAATTGAGGTGATTTGAAGCCTTAGCTGATAAATTGGTGCGTCTCTAATTCTAATTGTCTTGTTCAGTTATTGAAGGACTTTTAATTTTATTGATGTTTATTTGTACGTAGTGAGCTGTGTGAAAAGATTGAAATGTTATTGTCTTCATGTCGAAAAGCTCAACGTCTTCAAAAGATAAAAGGTGCGTCCTTTTAAGTTTGGTGAAAAACAAGGTTTTTGCGAGGAGTCTGCTGGTTTGAACGCATCCTTCATTTCCTGCTGTTTTATGACAGATTGTGTATATAGTTTTTTTTTCAGAGATGTTTTATCAATAAAACAGTTTCAAAGGAAAAATGGTTCAGACAATTACTGGCACTTTTTAATTCCTAATGGTGCTGAAAATTCCACAGTTGCAGTAATAACCAACGCCACTACAGCTCCGGTGCGCGTTTCTTTCAACATTTTTTGACATGTTTTATCTACAACGTCACTTTGTCACTCCCACACACAAAATGCTTCAAAAGTTTAGTGTGTAACCATGCTAGGAGCTGCTCTGTCAGATATGTTAAAGTGCCTGTGACATCCTTCAAATACAAATCATCAAAGAAAATATCTTCATATTTAGGAAAGTTGGCATAAAACACATGATTTAACCCATTTTGTCACATAACTGGCATATTTTCATTTGAATTTGGCTCAGCTAAAGTGAAACAGGAAGTGACATCAAAGGGGAACTCTTTAAGAAAGAAAACTCCCTGATTTTGTTTATTAAAACAATATTTGAACTCTGACTCTTCTTCATCTCTCTTACAGGGACTAAAATTATCTAAAGAAACATCAGAAAATTCCCTTCTGTCTGTGTTGCTTATCTGTTGTAGCAATGCTGTTTACATGCAGACGTTCCCCTTTGACATCACTTCCTGTTACTTCACATGCAAGTATCTCAACAACTGTTCATCTCACTGGTGTGAAATTGCTTTTGCAATATGATATCCATGTTATCTTTCCAAAAGTGGAATCACATTTATCAAAAGAAATTGATGTCACAGGTACTTTAAGGAGAAACTCATTGAATACAACATGAGGCCCAAGATGACAACCTCGCTTCTCATCAGATTAAATGTCTCCTGGATTCACGAAGAAGAAAACCTGACGTACAAAAGACTAACCCTGTCACTGACATGGCCCAAAATACCTATTGCCTCACAACAGGACGACACACGGATCTGTCTGGGCTTTGTTGAGCCCACGGATGATGACACAACCAATTGTGTTGCATCATAAACTTGCTGTATGTATCGCTTACAATGTGAAAGTACTGTGTTACCTGTGAGGACAGGCAGTAAATCCACAATGATTTGTGTGCAGTAAGGAGAAAACTCCCAGTAAAAGTCAAACAACATACAGAAACACACACAATCTTGAGTCCCTCAGTTGTTTCATGTTTGATAAATGGTTTTTGTTTCCGCAGTTAGTGGTAGTGATTGTGGATCATTGCATCCTCTGTCTCAGTACTGCTGATCTTGGTGTTGAGCAGTCCATGACCGGGTCTCCCTGGGCAGCACCAGCTGGGCCCCTTGCGATACCAGCCCTGATACAGTCCCCTCCAAACCAGACAGCCTAGAGCGCCCCCCAGCAGCTGGGTGGGGAAGTGAGGGAAGTAGGCCAGAAGACAGAGCAACAGAAAGATCCAGAGTGCCAGAAGAAGCACACAAAACAAGAAGAGGATCCTCAGAGGGGCATCAGATGTCCCCCCGAGGCTGAGATAAGGGCCGAACACGGACGCTTCCTCCACCAGCAGCAGGCAACATAGACAGAGGAGGAAAACATCCTCTGAAACCTCGTACCCCCTCCACAGCATCCCGGCCTTCAGGCACTCACACTTGCTTTCGCCCTCGCGCAGCACCAGCAGAGGCTGCCCGTTGGCGACCTCTGAACCGGGCTGTAAAGCTTCGTAGCAGCTTCCTGTGGCGTTCTCCAGGAGGTCCAGGAGTTTACAGCAGCCCAGCCAGAGACCACCGGCCACTGCAAGCCTGGAGAGGTGACGAAGGGAGAGCGAGAGGGAACGACGGATGGAGAAGGAGAGGAGGAAGACGAAGGAGCCGAGGAAGATGCAGGTCCAGCCCCAACCAGAGCGCAAGAACAATCTGGAGGGAAATGAGGAAAACCTGTTAGACCAGAGGAACGTAACATAACTACTGAACGATGAGATTTGTTATCTGGTCAGCACAGATATCAACTGACAGGTGAGTTTAAGAACTGTGAACCATCTCTAACGGCTCCTGCAGGATGTACAACTTGTGAAATGCCTATTCATCAAATACAAAATGTCAAAACACATTTTTATGTAAGAAACCTTGCATTTGAACACATAACTGACATATTTTCTTTTGAACTTGGATCAGCCAAAGTGAAACAGGAAGTGACATCAAAGGGGAACTATTTAAGAAGGAGAACTCTAGTCTTTTTATATTGAAATTATATTATTTGAACTCTGACTCGTCTTCATCTCTCTTTGATAGACTCAAAATAATCTTAAGGAACACCAGATTTTTCTCTACAGTTGGTGTCTTTAACCATTTTATCAATGCTCTAATCCATGCAGACATTCCCCTTTGACATCACTTCCTGGTACTTCAAATGCAAATATCTCAACAACTGTTCATCTCAGCAGTGGGAATTTATTTTTGCAAGATGTTATTGATGTTATCTTTCCAATAATGCCTTTATATTTATTTTAAAAAATTTCCTGTCACGGGCACTTTAAGTTCTGCATTTATTTTAGGAAATTCTATTTCACACAGAAAGGTTTTTGTAGATGCCAAAAGATCCAGAGCTGGACTGTTCTTCAGATGAAAAAGAAAAAAATAAGTAGGTCCTCTGGATGGGTTCTTCTTTAGTGAAACGTTTCATCTCTCGTCCAAGACACTTCTTCAGTCTGATGAGTTTCAGGTGAAGGTGGAGGCCTTCGTGTCCAGTTGTCCTCCTCCTACAATGCTGTTATTGCAAGTATGACTCAGCCCCCTGGGAGCAAAAGGTGTGAATCAGGGCCCCAACGATACCAACACAAAGAGGGAAAGAGGGACAAAAACAAGGGGACTTTGAACCCCGCCTGCATTCACTACATACACATAACAAAACACCAAATAACCACTGCTGAAACATCCAAACCAATAAGTCAGAAGATGGGGCACATGACCCTCTATGAACAATAGAGCTAATCAAGCCTATTGTTAGGCGATGGCCCTCTTTTGCATGTGACTAACCTGTTTGTCCAGGTGGAGGCAGTGCTTATAAGGCTGAGTTCACCTGAAACTCATCAGACTGAAGAAGTCTCTCGGAGGAGAGACAAAACGTTTCACTAAAGAGGAACCCATCCAGAGGACCTACTTATTTTTTCTTTTTGATTTTTTCTACCTGGATTACTGAGATGCATCAGGACATGTTCTTCATTTGCTCCAGTTTCTAGTGTCCACAATCCTCAGTTATTTTAGCTTATGAAGTGATTCTAAACCAGTTGGATCTAAGCACATAAGGGTAAACAGGAAGTGGACCTACCTGTAGAGGAAGTGGCTTCTCTTGGCGAACACACTGTGCTGAGACACCCAGAGGCTCAGCGCAGGGCCGAACACCACCACCGCAGACAGCAGCAGGTGGAAATGCTGCCGGCACAGAGAGTTACCCAGTAACCTGGCTGCCAAGTCCGTCAGGACCACCAGCACCGAGTTGAGGACCATCTGAACCCACATCCAGATCTCTGACCAGGTCTAAACTATTAAAGGAGAGTCAGAACTCAACACAGTAGTGAAGATTATCCAAGTCAAAGCCAAGAGATGAGGTTGTAATCCACTGTAAATGTACAAACACAACAACGATGAAATCAAGAATGAGTTCAGATCCTTTGACGGTTAATCCTGCAGAAATTCAGAGCTGCTGCTGTGCATTAATAACAGTTGAAACCCTCAGATGTCAGCAGTGAAGCTTCTTCACCCATGTGTGGGGCGTGTGCTGCATTATGTGGATAAGGTGGCAACTGGCTTCCAGCATTCCACACGCTCCAAATGTGTGCACGCTGTGAAATCCAGCCCAGAAATGCTTCAGTCCAACAGGCTCCAGTGCTGACTTCACCTCAGCTTCAGTTTTTGGATGTGGGAAGGTTTCTCTGAGTCTTTGCTCCGTTCTGTTTGCTTCTGCTGAAGCTCCGTGTTCACTCCTGTTACACCCTGAGAGGTCAAGAATACTCTTCTATTTCCGCTGTAACGTTATCCTCCCAGGTCTGTGACAAAGGTCCGTTCAACATAAATCTTTTCAGCGTGTTCACTCTGTCAGGTCTCCCGGTCCTTCAAGGTCCCATTATTTCTGCTGAGGTGGCTGAACACTGTGTTGCTTTATGGCAGGAATTTCATAATACAATGCCGATTAAGCAACATAACCAATCAACAGAATATCAGTGCATCAGTTAAACGTGTTGTCTCTTTGTGTGTGTGTGTGTGTGTGTGTGTGTGTGTGTGTGTGTGAATGTGTGTTCATGTGTATTATTAGCAGCAACCTTTGCACCAACTGGTCTGAGACTCAGCTGCTGCTGCAGTTTGTTTCTGTCAATCACTGAAAGGCAAAAACACACAATTATGGTCCTCTCTCTCCTGATTTCCTCCCTTTTTGAACCAGCAATTTAGGTTCATGGACTAATTTGACAAAGACCATTGTCTCAATTATTGCCAAGTTTAACTCAGAAAACACTTCTGCAGACATGTTGACACCTCTGTCAGAATTATTTGTTGAAGGTTTATGTGTGTGTGTAACGTTTAAAAACACATCAGCTGGTCTAACACCCACCTATTTATACATCTTGTTAGATTTTGTCCTAAACAAACCAAAACGTGCCCTGTTCCAAATGTGGTTTTAAGATCTTTAGATAACAGACTAAAAAGTGGCTCAGAAGGTTCTACTTTACATTTAAGTCGTCATACTGGGACTTTATCCCCAGGGTGTATGACTCCATGGTTCTTAAACTCTGGTACAAGTGCTCCTCATAATCCCTCTGGTGGTACCCAGAAAAAATTTAGTTCTCATCTGGTAAATAAATTAATGCCCATCAAATGCTGAGATGTAAGGTGAAGCTGATCAGAGAAAGTGTTCAAAATATGATCTCACATGAAAATATTTTTACAGAACAGAAATAAAAGATAACCTGTTTTTTGAGAGTCTCTCTTTTGTTTTTCTAACAAAGTGAGCAATAATAGTTTGTGTCTTTTAAGTAACCTCTGAAAACTGTAAATACCATCAAGGGTGAACCTAATGAATGTTTCTACATGTTTCAGGACACAATAAAATTAGATACAAAAAACTGTTCAACAAGTTGTTTATTTAAGTTTTGATCTCACCTCAGATTGTGTCAGACTTTTTTTTCATCTAAATGAAAGAAGCGTGACCTCTGACCTCTTGCTAAAAGGAACCAGTCTACCATAATCTAACCCACCAATCACAGCAGAGCGTTCCTCTGCATCTGTCATCAGTCTTACCCACAGGGCATCATATTACTGTGACTCTGTATTTACAGTGATGCTCTTCCTTCTGGGGGTGAACTTTTATTTCTGAGCTTCTGCTGACATCTACAGGCACTATAGAAACACTGGAGAATAAGAGTGACAACATGCTGCCAAAAGCTTTAATGGGTAGCTAGTAGGCAGATGTCTTATGTTCCCACAAAGATCCTGGGTGCTGCATTAATTTAGGTACAATTAGAACAGCAGAGTAATGCAGGGTTATGTCTGAATGTTTCATAATCCTACCCTAAAGTAAAAGTGAAAAAAATGTTGACATCCTGTCAGCCAGTCCTGATCACTAACAACATACAGGGACTACAGGATGTAGAAACTAAAATATGGACTTTAGTGTCAGGATCATTGTGTTTTTGTTTTATGGTTTCTTGTGTAGTTTTGCTTTAATTCCTCTTTCTGTATTTGAGGTTTATCATCTCAGTTGTCAGATCATCCAATTGCACTTTGGTCCACACCTTGATGTTCTTGTGTTATTGACCCTCCTGATGATCCAATCGTCCATGAGCCTCTGTTTTGCTGCACTGTCAGCTTTTATTTTCATATTATTTTACTTTGTCATCTTCGTGAGTCTGTGTTCTGGGTCTAATTTCACCACCCAAGCCTCACATTTAGTTCAGTTTATAAATAAACATCACTTTAGTTTTTTTTTTTTTTTTTGGGGGGGGGGGCAGTGAAAAATGGCTATAACATGGTTAATAATAGATGTTAAGAAAAGGTAGTAGCAGCTGAGAGTCATCCTTTACTCAGAGAGTTAACACATTTTACAAGATCTCAGATCATCACCTGAGCTCGTGCATGAAATAATTTACAAAGGTTGATCATATCACAAGGCAGAAATGATATGCAGTTCTTCAAGGTATGCTATTAAATACAAAGGTTTTCTTTTCATTCATACTTATTTTCTTTAAACATCCTTGTTTTTATGAAGACAGTATTTTTTTCAGAAACATATAACTATTAACTAACTACTATATAATTATTACTCCCTATAGTTTTGATTTAAACTGATCTCCAACCAAGCGATGTGTTGTAAAGGTTGTGATCTAAGACTCGGAGCAACATAAATCATAGGTGTTCATAGGTGTTGTGCAGACAGATTAGTAAGTGCTGCCACCCTGTGGACAAACTGTGAATTTTTTAATTTATTACAACAGATAGATGGCCTGCTAAACAAACATTTCTAAACTTCAGTCTTTTTTTTAAGGAAAAGATTATTAAAAATCAAGCCTGACTCAGCATAATTTCTGTTTTACAGCAGGTTCCTGTTCTGCAGCACATAAAACACTCAGAAATACAGCATCACAATCACATCATTATACACCATAGACACAAAGACAAACAAGCATACCAAATTTCAGGAAGGCAGCATTTGCAAAATAGGACGTCTAAATATGAGCACAACAAAAAAGTGTCCAGCAGATGGCAGACAAGATTCTTCTTAAAGGGCTGTAGTTTTGAAATGGACTTTATGTTTTGAGGAATGTCATTCCCTTTAGTATAAACATAGAAGAAAGACCTCTGGCCGTAACAGTTTTTAAAAGTTGGTAATATCAGTTGTCCTTTTGTAACAGATCTAGTTGAATGACCACTTCCAGAATTTGATTTGGGCAGCAATGCGCAGAGAGTTCCATAATTGGCACCTTGGAAGATCTGAAAATATAAATTAATACCACTATACAAAATATAATTCTGAAAAGTCAAGACTTTAGCCTGACTTCATTTAAAACGACAATAATTTCTGTTTAAAATATTTTATCTGCTGCCTAGTAAACTGCAATTTTCTATGGGCATATAAAAAAGTTTTTCATTTTTTTAAATGTTATCTTGGCTTGCAATGATCATGACATTTTCGTGTTTTAATGTTACATTTGTCAGTTTCCTTCACACCTGTTTTGTTGTTGCATCTTCTAGGTTTTAAACTTCAGGACACTTTCTGGTATTTATCATGCAAACACCAAGATCTAACAAAATGAGATGCAGAAGTATGATGTGTGACYGTGTGTTTAATGACTCCATTTGAGGCCAAAATAAACGAGACTGAGCAGGTTGGTGCTTTCAGTAACTGCATGTCAGAGTCATACAGTTCCAGAGACAAGAAAAATAAGCAAAAATATACAGAAAGCTGGAAGGTAGAGAGGAAAAAGTCCAATTTAAAAAAAGAAAAAAGAATCGATCTTTTCTATTGACATGACGCAAGCATTAGCCTGCACCCACCTCTGTCAGGGCAGATCCATTAAAGGGCCTGTGTCCATGTGGCGTCCAGGCAGTCAGAGGAACTGTCAGCTGTAGGATACGCTCTCTAATCCTCCATAAAGCTCTGACTGACAACAAAAACAGCTGTCTGCCTCAATGTCTCTGCTGCTGAAACGCATCCAAAGCAATGAGCCTGGAAGGACGAATGGAGACGAATGGAGATGGACACGCTGGAGCTTCTGTGTGCAATTCTCCTAAAAAGACAAAATATATTTTTTATCGAGTGAATGCTCTTTTATTGTTAATTAACAAGCGGTATTACGATTTCAGCTTTAATTTGCAAAGAAAAGAAGATCGGTCAAAATAATTCATCTACACACTTTTCTTCCACATAGATAGTTTTTGTGTCCTTAAGTAAAAAGAATGTAAGCAGAATTTGTGAACATGTGTGTTTGTTTACCCACAGAAACAGCTGAAATGTTTCTGTGTTGGTGCATGTTTACCTTCATATTTGTTGAGTCAAGTGTGTTCCTAGGTTTCTAAAATAAATCTAAATTAAAATAGATTTATAGGTATATCACAAACTGGTTAAAAATGTTTCTGGTGAAAGACTAACATTGAACTTATTAAAATAATTTTTTTGCYAAAATCACATGATTGAATGAAAATATTTAACCTTGACTGTTATTTTAATTAGTTCTTTCTGTTTCTTTTACATTTAGCAGCAGATTTACTTATATTCCACCCTGCTACATTCACTCGTGATTCTGTCATATTTGTTTTTCAGACTACAATCAACGACACAACTCAAGCTTCCACATGATTTTTGATGGATTCAGCTGAGTGCTTTGTTTACATTGAGTGTGTACCTGCATTTCAGAAAACTGCTGTACTTTCAAACTGCACCATTTGATTTAGTTCGCATTCACTGTTTTATGTTTGATTTCATGCTTTGCAACAATTTGTTGTGTATCAAACTTTTAGTTTCTGTTTATGAAATATAAACTAAAGTCATTGTGGTATTTTTTTCACCCCATGTTGGTGCCTGCTATGTTTGGCTCCAATCAGTTCTCGTGAAACAGAGCTTTTATCTCCTCAGCTGCTCTCAAATGGAAAATGCCTCTGATAGTGGGGTCAGCAATCACGCTCGAACACAACTGGTGTGGTCTGCAGCTGAGGTCAGACAGGGCAACAAACAAAAGCTCTAATAATACCCCTCACACCCAAAGTATTAATAAAATGGACATGTGCCTAATGCCACAGAACGAGACAATACCAGCAAGTACAGGTTTTCATAAAGTATTTTTCTAACTAAATCTATAATTACATGAGAATTCTGATTTAAGATGCAGTATATAATCCTCTGTGTATCATAGTCAGCTAGTGATGGACTCTTTAACAGGAACTTCAGAAGAAGAAGAAGCTCTTATGTTTGTATGTTTGTTGTTCAGTATGTGGGGTCAGTATGATTTTTCCTGGGAGCAGAAACACATGCAGCAGGTTATAGAATAGAATAGAATAGAATAGAATAGAATAGAATAGAATAGAATAGAATAGAATAGAATAGAATAGAATAGAATAACTTTATTGTCTGTCCCAGATGTGGTGACAGAAATTTTTCTTCGACAGGGCTCCAACAACAGCATACTTGCAACACACTCAACTACCCATAAAAACACATAAAACACAATAAAACACATAAAAGGGACTGTTAAAAGCAACTGTAAAATAATTACAATACTATTATAATTTAAAAGTATTCAGAGTGGATATTGCAAGCGGAATAAAGGACTTTTTGTATATTGCTTTACGGGCCGGAGGAACTTTGAACCTTCTGCCTGACGGGAGCAGCTGGAATGAGTGATGGAGGGGATGAGAGGGGTCCTCTGTGATCAGGGTGGTCTTCCTCATCACAGATTGGTTATGCAGATAAGAAAGAGGGGTTTGGGGTGAATCGATTATTTTGCTGGCCTGATTTTTGATTCGTGACAGTTTGTTTTTGTGTTTCACAGTGAGGAAGTTGTACCAGGATAAAATGTTGAAGGTGATGATGGACTCAATGAGTGATTTATAAACCAGTGTTAAAATGTCTTTCTTGATATTAAAAGATCGCAGTTTCCTCAGCAGGTGGAGACGTTGATGTGCTTTTTTAAAAAAATGGAATCTGTGTGCTCTTTAAAAGACAGCCGGGTGTCAATTTCTGTCCCGAGGCATTTAAAAGACTCCACCTGTTCCACCTGCTGACCCTGGATGCTGAGTGGCTGGAAGAGAGCTGATCTGGCATCTTTATCTTTGCTCCCAAAGCACAACYCTTTGGTTTTTGTGACATTCAGTTCCAAGAAATTGTCATTAAATGTTGTAATGAAAATGACAACTGCCTGCTGGTACCGGGGCAGAGCATCAGAGCAGAGGATTGGGGTCCAGATTAYGAAGCTCTGAGTTTTGACTTTAGGCAGATTAATGAGGGAAAAGCAGTGTCAGTAGGAGTAGAAAGAGGGGTTTTCTTTCAGGGTTTTTAGATTTAAATTAGGCAATTGTGTTTTGATAGTTTAGGGGAAAACAATCTTTACAGTTTTATACAGATTAACATTCATCAAATTATTGATAGTCTCCATCTGTGTACATGGTTGATCACCACACAAATTCAAACTTTTTAAGAAAACAAATATTACTCCTCTTATTTCTCTAATTTACTGTTTCCTCTAACTTTTGTCATTAAAATTTCTCTCTGAACTGGTCTGAATAGCAGATTTTTGTTTGACTAATACCTGTTTTGTGTTCAATGAAGGTCATTAGAGACACAGTAAATAATTTTACAGTAGGCTGAGAGACATTTAATGCCTGAGGCTGTTGTCACTTTAGATGTAGCGTTAAATCGACAGCCAGAAGCACCGTCCTCAAGTGTTATACTGTTTGAAACCAGTCTTCTCAAACAGCTCTGACTGCAGAGAAATTGAAACTTTCATCACTCTGTATTCTTTCTCTGTGATCTGTCCAGTTGTGTCAGTTGTATTTCATTGGGTCATAGGGTGACATTCAAAAGTAATAATAACCCAAAGTGTCACTAAATTGTCAGTAAAGGCTGCTGACAAGATGCTGAATAAATATTGCTCAGTCAGTTTCTATTACACAATAGGCTTAAAGCAAGAGAAAGAACAGTACTCACCATTATACGCACCCCTTTTTTCATAGACTGCACAATATCTTTAGAAATATATAGAAAAGTACCCTCATGATTTTTTTTAATTAGTTGTCCAAAATAATACAAAAATAAAATATTGTTTTTCAATTTATATAATTTCAAAGAAATGCACCCCTGACTAATACTTGGTTGCACACCCTTTGGCATTGATGACAGCCTACAAATGTTTCGTGTAGCCATCGATAAGCTCCTCATCTGCTACTACTACTCTTCCTTTGCAGTTTGTTCAAGCTCTTGAATGTTTGCAGGGTTCATTTTCTCAGTGGCAGATTTCAGCTCAGCCCAAAGAGTTTTCATGGRATCGAGTTCAGGACTCATTTCTGGCCATTTTAAACAGTGCATTTGTACCTTTTCAACCATTGTTGTGTACTTCTGGATGTATGCTTTGCATCCTTGTCATAATCTTTCACTCAAACCAAGTTTTCTTACTGGGTAAGGCATTTCACTCTAAAATCTCWAGAAAATTCTTTGATTTCATGATTCCTGTGATACGGCCACAGCCTGCAGTACCAGACGCAGCAAAGCAACCCCACAGCAGTGTTGTATAAAGTACCTCAAAGTGATACTTGAGTAAAAGTACAAGTATCTTATTACTTTGGTAAAAGTTAAAGTCTTCTCTAAAAATATTACTTGAGTAAAAGTCTTAAAGTATCTGATACGTTTTGTACTTGAGTATCAAAAGTAAATTTCTGACACAAAATCTACCTAAGTATTAAAAGTAAAAGTACTGAATAAAAGTGAGCAGTTAGATTTTCCAAAATGACATTTATTGGGAGGTGACTTCTCAAAAAAATATTTTTTCTAACGGTGTGCAGCTGTGATGGGTTGTGTACAAGCTAATACGGTGTCAGAATGGTATATATTTATATTTCTCATCCAACCACAATTAAATTCACTCTATCCAGGAGACACAATTTGTCAGGATAGTATTTTTTTTAAAGTAATAAAAACTCGGAATAAAAAAGGAGTAACGACTTTCTACTTCTTACATTTTTTTTAAAAAATGTAGTGTGTAGAAAGTACAGATAATTGTGTAAAAATGTAATGAGTAAAAGTAAAAAGTASGCTGAAAAATAATTACTCAAGTAAAGTACAGATAAYCAAAATTTATACTTAAGTACAGTAACAAAGTATTTGTACTTAGTTACTTTACAACTCTGCCCCAAAGCATTATGGATCCTCTACCATGCTTAAATGTCGGCAAATACAAAATGCAAAACAAATAATACATTTTTAAATGCTGAGTCTAACTACAAAACAACTAATGTGTTACACTGTTTAGGAAGGACATCTTTACCTCCAGATGAAGTTATCTAAAACTTTAAGATAGCGGAGGGTTTTTCCAGCCTTTATCTGACCTCCAGAGGTCTGTCTAAGAGGTTCTTAAAGCATTATGTCCACTTCCTGACAGTATTTTTGTACACACTCTGACGTTTCAGATAAACATATCTTTTCAGGCCTCCTTCCTCCACTTGACAGCCTTCACCACTGGTAACTGGGGCGCTCAATCTCAGACATGAAATCCACACAACAACCAAGTGTCTCTAAAACTTAATAATATTCTCAGAAGTTTAAAGTGACCCTCTTACTGACCTCAGATGGATGTTCTCAGCTAACCAATGCTGCAGGTTTGGATTGATTTCAAGAGAAGATGAAAAAATAAAAAGTAACGTTATTCACATTAACTTTAAATCAGTGATGTTTTCTCTCTGTGTGAGAGTAAGAGCTGACATTACATTTGGCTGCTAGTGTAATCCCTGTGGTTTTAGGAAACCTGTAGCCAGAACAATAAACCAGTACACACCCAGTAAGTACAGGTGATTATCACCATCAGGCAGACATCTGTTCAGTTAGTGCTTTATTTACTTTTCAAAGCAAAATGTTTTCTTACTCAAGTCCCACTTGTCATAGTTGTGCACCAACCACAAAGTCAGACTGATCCATCCACTGAGAATGATCACTGAACACGAACAATAAAAACAAAACAAAAATAAAAACTGGAGTTTAAACCCCTCTGACTTCACTCTGCCTCCCGGCCCCTCCTCACACAGAATCTGGTTTCTGTTCATGAGCAGGCCTCACTTGGAAAAGGAATTTAGCACAGGAGATGACAGGGGAAAGTGTGGCAGAATTAGAGATAGAGGTGGCATGCTTGCGTGAGTCACACACAAGTTATGCAGCAGAACGTTCCTGGCACTGCGCCCGAAAAATCACATTATTTGGACATGAGAGGTAGAGACAAACGGACAGAGAGGGCAGCCAGGCATCRCCAGARCCAAACTGAGCTCTTTGTGATAAAAATGATGGAGATTACCTCAGTGAGTGTATGTGTGTGGCATGTGTTTAATTGTGCACCTGATGATGTGTGTGTGTGTGTGGGGGGGGGGGGTGTTATCAGGTCAGGGTGGTGCCCTTGGCCTTGTAAGGCAGGTTATCTGGGGTTATATATTTGATCCCWGCCATCRCTGCAGGTCTAGTGGATGCTTCCTCTTCACCTGGCCTCTGTAAGTATGAACAACTGGTTGTTTTTCTGCATCATTCTTTTTTTCCCTACCTCTTTAAAAGAAAATGAAAACATTTAAATACAATCATTTTAATTATAAATCCTTATTGGAGGATCATCTCCATATGTCTGTGGGAGTTTGCAACCAAATAAAGCAAATAAAGATAAATAAAAGGATCTGTTATCTACTACTCATATAAGTTAGGTATTTTAGAAGTTTTAAAACCTGAATAAAAACTTGTTTTAATAAAAAATATTGCTTTTCTGCAGGTGTAACAAGAAGTATTTACTCTAAAACCTGAGCTCAACTTTAATCTGAGCTGAACCCACCGGTAAACTTTCCTTTTTCACAAACGTTTGGCAGCAATGCACATATTAAAGCCTGATTACATTTAACTATATAATAGATCTATAAACTGAATTACAGTTACAGAGAAACACTGACAACATACGCAGCAGAGAAAGTGTTTGGTTATCTGTGTGTGTGTACATTAGTGCAGCCATGGGGGACGCAGAGATGTCTGTGTTTGGTGCGGCTGCACCGTACCTGAGGAAGTCGGAGAAGGAGCGTATGGAGGCCTCCACACGTACCTTTGATATCAAAAAGGAATGCTTCGTCCCGGATTCGGTGGAAGAGTTTGTAAAGGGGACCATCGTGAGCCGGGATGGAGACAAGGTCACTGTGGAGACACAGAATGGAAAGGTGAGTCCTGAAGCTACGAAACCAAGATACCATTCAGTTACAACGATTAACAAACAGCATCTGTTCTGTTTGCACTAATAAACTTACTATCAGTGAAACCACAGGATCCATTTGTTAAATAAAGGCTTTATTTTCATCTAACACATTAAATCTATGTGTTTTTAAGTGTCTGCCCTTAAATGAGTGTGAATAGATSTTAAAAGGGAAGCCAGAGGGAGACTGAATTAAAGTGTCTTTCCATCCACAACAATAAGTGAGTGATGAAAGAAGGGGCTGCTGCCACCTGGCATTAAAATGTAAAGCAAGTTTTGCATCTGCATGATGCTGACGGCAGCACAAGCATGTACAGTAACACAAACAGAAAATAAAAGCTGACTTTATTYAATGAGTAATAACCTCACCATTATTATTCACTGAATAAACCATATATGTAGCTATAAAATAGGACCGCTGCATTGAATTCCTCCTCTTCCAGACTGTGACTGTCAAAGAGGCGGATGTTCTGCAACAGAATCCTCCCAAGTTTGATAAAATTGAAGACATGGCCATGCTGACGTTCCTCCACGAGCCAGCTGTGCTGTTTAACCTCAAAGAGCGTTACGCAGCATGGATGATCTATGTGAGTACCCCTTCAGGCAATAATCAATAACGCTGATTGAAAGCTCAGAAAGTTTAACTTTACATATCGAAACAGTGATGAGTGACAGTCATTATTTCCTGTGTTCTCAGACCTACTCTGGGCTGTTCTGTGTGACTGTCAACCCCTACAARTGGCTGCCGGTCTACAACCAGGAGGTGGTCATCGCCTACAGAGGAAAGAAGAGGAGTGAAGCTCCTCCTCACATCTTCTCCATCTCTGATAACGCCTACCAGTACATGCTGGCAGGTACATCACAGTAACAGAAAAACTGCTGTGAATAGGTTTTAATTTACACACTAAAAAAATGTTCTAAAATTTTCTGACAGATCGTGAAAACCAGTCAATTCTGATCACGTATGTAATGCTTTTCATTTTAAAAGCATCTATGGCTCAGTATGTTCTGATTTTGAAATTGTCATGCAATAATGTATATCTCTGTTAAAACAGTGGAGAATCTGGTGCAGGAAAGACCGTCAACACTAAGAGAGTCATCCAGTATTTTGCAAGTATTGCAGCTGGAGGCATCAAGAAAGACTCTAATGTGAAAGACAAGGTACGTGATAAGCTCTGTCCAGTGCTGGAGCTGCTGAAACAATTATTTTTTTGTTTGTTTTCACAGGTGAAAAATAAATAAATAAAAACACATTATAATTTTCAGTTGATTTAAATTCTCAGTAGTAATAATAACACATAACTCATCAGTTTGATACTTAAATAAAGCATCAATGCTTTCCATTAGAGGGTGCTAAAGCCTCCTAGAGCAAACAAAGTGTTCTTGTGTGACAGGGCACCCTGGAGGATCAAATCATCCAGGCTAACCCTGCTCTGGAAGCCTTTGGTAATGCCAAGACCATCAGGAATGACAACTCCTCCAGATTTGTGAGTTTTAGTGTTTTACCTGACTTCATTGTGAAATGTTACTGAACAGATTCCCATAAACACATAGTCCAATGCTTGTTATGCTTCCAGGGTAAATTCATCCGAATTCATTTCGACACCAGAGGAAAATTAGCATCTGCTGATATTGAAACATGTAAGAGCAGACACCACTTTGTGTTGGAAACATGACATGATGTGTGATAATTTATCTAACGGAAAAACCTCTCTGGTGTTGTTAGACCTTCTGGAGAAGTCTCGTGTCATCTTCCAGCTCAGGGCTGAGAGAGATTATCACATCTTCTACCAGATTCTTTCCAACAAGAAACCTGAAATCCTGGGTGAGCAACAAGACTGTAGCTCTTTTGTGAAGACTATGAAACTTCATCTGCAAACTTAAACAAAAATGCGGTGTTGATTTGCCTGACCCTGTTGGTGCATCCTCCAGAGATGCTGCTGGTGACAAACAATCCATACGACTAYGCCTTCATCTCCCAGGGAGAAACCCAAGTGGCCTCCATAGACGATGCAGAAGAACTGATGGCAACAGATGTCAGACCCTATTTTTGCCCTTTTTTTAGTTGACATATTTACAGTTAACTTTAAATGATCTGGTTTAAGAGTTCTTTTAGATTTGTAGCTGATTAACTATTCAAATTAAAGGTACAGTGCAGAAATGTTAAGATCTTCCTTGCTGCTCATCCACAGAACGCCTTCGACGTGCTGGGCTTCACTCAAGAGGAGAAAAACTCTGTGTACAAGCTCACAGGTGCCATCATGCACCACGGCAACATGAAGTTTAAGCAGAGGCCGCGCGAGGAGCAGGCAGAGGCTGATGGAACTGAAGGTGAAGTTAGGACTCATTGTTAATCAGGCTAGCTCTAAATCTGGCCCTTCACTTTTAGATTTTCTGTTTCAGATGCCGACAAAGTCGCTTATCTGATGGGCCTGAACTCCGCTGACCTCATCAAAGGTCTCTGTCACCCGAGAGTCAAAGTAGGAAATGAGTGGGTCACCAAGGGACAAAATGTCGCTCAGGTGAAAGAAGAAAGATTGTTTTAAATGATTTTCATCTTATCATTTTAAAAACATACAGGATGGTGCTTGGAAAGTTTTATCTACAGAAACTCAAAAGCTGCATCCCAAATATGAAATTTATTCATAATAATATGGTTATCTGACCATTCCACAGGTGAACTATGCTGTTGGAGCTCTGTCTAAATCTGTTTACGAGAGGATGTTTTTGTGGATGGTAATAAGAATCAACCAGTCTCTTGAAACAAAGCAGCCACGCCAGTACTTCATTGGTGTGCTGGACATTGCTGGATTTGAGATCTTTGATGTGAGTGATCCCATTAAAAAACATTCTACATAATCGTCCTGATGCATCTCAGTAATCCAGGTAGAAAAAATCAAAAAGAAAAAATAAGTAGGTCCTCTGGATGGGTTCTTCTTTAGTGAAATGTTTCGTCTCTCCTCCAAGAGACTTCTTCAGTCTGATGAGTTTCAGGNAGGTGAACTCAGCCTTATAAGCACTGCCTCCACCTGGACAAACAGGTTAGTCATATGCAAAAGAGGGCCATCACCTAAAAATAGGCTTGATTGGCTCTATAGTTCATAGAGAGTCATGTGCCCCATCTTCTGACCCGTGTCRTGTTATGTGAATGTAGTGAGTGCAAGCAGGGGTTTAACATCCCCTTGTTTTTGTCCCTCTCTCCCTCTTTGTGTTGGTATCATTGGGGCCCTGATTCACACCTTTTGCTCACAGGGGGCTGAATCATACTTGCAATGACAGCATTGTAGGAGGAGGACAACTAGACACGAAGGCCACCACCTCTGTTTAATGGTGGACGTTTCTTCTTCACAAAGATGGCTTCCTTTTACTCCTCTCTCAAACCAGCGTTCCTCTTTATCAAGGATGAGAACATCTTCATCCCTGAAAGAGTGACCGCTGGCCTGATGATGAGTGTAAACTGCAGAGTCCTGACCCGACAAWGTAGCTCGTCTGTGCTGGTTCATTCTTTTGAACAGTGGCTGTTTTGTTTCCCCAATGTATGACTGATCACAGTCCTCCTGACACTTAACAGCGTATATTACTGTATATTACTCTGTTTTTGCCGGGGAACCGGATCTTTGGGGTGAACTATTCTTTGTCGTAACGTGTTTTGGGATTTGAAAGCCATTGGGACGTCATGTTTAGAGAATAAACGTCTCAGTTTCTCTGAAATGCCCACCACATACGGAATGACGACTGGTTTGGGTCTGGGTTGAGGGTCTAAGGTTCCAGCCAACAACCAGGTGAAAATGAAGACCCTAAACCCAGACCCAAACCAGTCGTCATTCCGTATGTGGTGGGCATTTCAGAGAAACTGAGACGTTTATTCTCTAAACATGACGTCCCAATGGCTTTCAAATCCCAAAACACGTTACGACAAAGATTAGTTCTCCCCAAAGATCCAGTTCCCCGGCAAAAACAGAGTAATATAGTATATACTGTTAAGTGTCAGGAGGACTATGATCAGTTATACATTGGGRAAACAAAACAGCCACTGTTCAAAAGAATGAGCCAGCACAGACGAGCTACATTGTCGGGTCAGGACTCTGCAGTTTACACTCATCATCAGGCCAGCGGTCACTCTTTCAGGGATGAAGATGTTCTCAGCCTTGATAGAGAGGAACGCTGGTTTGAGAGAGGAGTAAATGAAGCCATCTTTGTGAAGAAAAACCGTCCACCATTAAACAGAGGTGGAGGCCTTCGTGTCTAGTTGTCCTCCTCCTACAACGCTGTCATTGCAAGTATGAGTCAGCCCCCTGTGAGCAAAAGGTGTGAATCAGGGCCCTAAGGATACCAACACAAAGAGGGAAAGAGGGACAAAAACAAGGGGACATTGAACCCCTGCTTGCACTCACTATGTACACATAACACGACACGGGTCAGATGATGGGGCACATGACCCTCTATGAACAATAGAACTAATCAAGCCTATTGTTAGGCGATGGCCCTCTTTTGCATGTGACGAACCTGTTTGTCCAGGTGGAGGCAGTGTTAACGCTGAGTTCACCTGAAACTCATCAGACTGAAGAAGTCTCTTGGAGGAGAGACAAAACGTTTCACTAAAGAAGAACTGATCCAGAGGACCTACTTATTTTTTCTTTTTTGATTCTATTATCATTAACATATTTATTGTATTCATTGATATTATTTTTCTCCCAGTTCAACACCTTTGAGCAGCTGTGCATCAACTTCACCAATGAAAAACTGCAACAGTTCTTCAATCACCACATGTTTGTGCTGGAGCAGGAAGAGTACAAGAAAGAGGGAATTGAATGGACTTTTATTGACTTTGGTATGGATCTGCAGGCCTGTATTGACCTGATTGAAAAGGTGGGATACTGAATTATTAAATGTTAACATAAAATAAATAAAAATATTATGTTTGTTTTTACATCTATTTCTYTTCCCTCAGCCTATGGGTATCATGTCYATCCTTGAAGAGGAGTGCATGTTTCCCAAAGCCACTGATACAACCTTTAAAGCTAAGCTTTATGACAACCACCTGGGAAAATCCAGTAACTTCCAGAAGCCTAGARTYGTTAAAGGAAAACCAGARKCTCATTTTGCCCTGGTTCATTATGCTGGAACTGTTGATTATAATATCAACAACTGGCTGGTGAAGAACAAGGATCCTCTGAATGAGACCGTTGTTGGACTGTACCAGAAGTCTACACTCAAGTTGTTGGCGCTTCTCTTTGCAAATTACGCAGGAGCAGATTCAGGTAACCTGGCATGACTGCATAGATTTTATACACAGCAGCACATTAGTATAGTCTGAGCATAGTTTTCAGTGTGAGGTCTCAATCTTACATTTTTTAAACAGTTATGGGTGAAGGTACTGAAGGCAAAAAAGAAAAGAAGAAGAAAGGGTCATCATTTCAGACAGTGTCGGCTCTCCACAGGGTATGTTCTTGTCTTTTATCAAATTGTTTAAACTTTTACATTTTAATAATCAATATTTAAATGCCTGTTTCGCCATATTTTAGGAAAACCTGAACAAGCTGATGACCAACTTGAGGTCAACTCACCCTCACTTTGTGCGCTGCATCATCCCCAATGAGACCAAGACTCCTGGGGCCATGGAGAACCCTCTAGTGATGCACCAGCTGCGCTGTAATGGTGTGCTGGAAGGCATCAGGATCTGCAGGAAGGGCTTCCCCAACAGGATCCTCTATGGAGACTTCAAGCAGAGGTATTAGCTCAGTGAAAGATTTAACATATTATACTTTAAAGCCACGATCAAATATATTTTTACTATATGATTTTCCAGATATCGCATCCTGAATCCTGCAGCCATCCCTGAAGGACAATTCATTGACAGCAGGAAAGGAGCTGAGAAACTCCTCGGATCTCTGGATATTGACCATAACCAGTATAAGTTTGGTCACACTAAGGTATCAACAAATTTTTCTTCAAGCAAAGGGAAGAAAAGATCGATATGATAATAAAAATGTAAAATATTTTTTTGTTTTTAGGTGTTTTTTAAAGCTGGATTGCTGGGTCTGCTAGAGGAGATGAGAGATGAGCGTCTTGCCAAAATCATTACTGCCATTCAAGCCAGGTCTCGAGGTCTTTTGTCTCGTATTGAGTATCAAAAGATGGTGGAGCGCAGGTGATACTGGTCTTCTAATTTTGCATAGTTACTGGTTTGTTGGTTTACTTCAAAACTAAACCCATTTAAACTTATTTATTTCCTAGAGATGCTTTATTAGTGATCCAGTGGAACATCCGAGCCTTCATGGGGGTCAAGAATTGGCCCTGGATGAAGCTGTTCTTCAAGATCAAACCTCTCCTGAGATCTGCTGAAGCAGAAAAGGAGATGGCCAACATGAAGGAAGAATTCCTGAAGCTGAAGGAGGCCTACGCAAAATCTGAAGCTCGTAGAAAGGAACTAGAGGAGAAAATGGTCTCTCTTCTCCAAGAGAAGAATGACCTACAGCTCCAAGTCCAAGCTGTAAGAAGGCAATTTAAAGTCACTTTTTTTTCTCATTTGAGCATTTTATCAAAAATTTGCTAGCAAGAATTTATTTTTTGCAGGAGCAAGATAATCTCTGTGATGCAGAGGAACGATGTGAGGGACTGATCAAAAACAAAATTCAGCTAGAAGCAAAAATCAAGGAGCTTACAGAAAGGCTGGAGGATGAGGAGGAGATGAACGCTGAACTGACAGCTAAGAAGAGGAAGTTGGAGGATGAGTGCTCTGAGTTAAAGAAGGATATTGACGACTTAGAACTAACTCTGGCCAAAGTGGAAAAAGAGAAGCACGCCACTGAAAACAAGGTTTGTTAAATATTATTACAGCAAGAAAACAAACTAAGAAGAATTATGTTTCATTAAAAGTTTTAGAATTACATTGATCGATTTAAATTCCTTCTGCTTAATCCTCAGGTAAAAAACCTAGTTGAGGAGATGGCTGCATTGGATGAAATCATTGCTAAGCTGACCAAGGAAAAGAAAGCCTTACAGGAAGCTCACCAACAAACACTGGATGACCTGCAGAGTGAGGAAGACAAAGTCAACACTCTGACCAAGGCCAAGGTGAAACTGGAGCAGCAAGTGGACGATGTAAGTCTCTAGTTTTTTTTTACCACAGACAATAAACAGACAAGTATGTAAGCAGTGATAATACAATAATGTACAAGTACTGCATTAACAGGTATTTGTGTTTTAGCTTGAAGGGTCTCTTGAGCAAGAGAAAAAGATCCGAATGGATCTTGAGAGAGCGAAAAGAAAACTGGAGGGAGACCTAAAGTTGGCCCTGGAGTCCATTATGGATCTGGAAAATGACAAGCAACAACTGGAAGAACGCCTGAAAAAGTACAAATAATCTAAATGTTAATGAACCAGTAAATCAATCTTCTCACTATGTGAGTATGTGCATTGTTTTAATTCGTGACAATGACAAATCAAAACATTGCAGGAAAGACTTTGAAATCAGCCAGTTGAACAGCAAACTGGAAGATGAACAGGCAATAATCACTCAGCTCCAGAAGAAGTTGAAAGAGCTGCAGGTAAGATTTGGGCAACATGTGACTCTCAATGATGTTCAAACATTACTGACACCACTGCTCTGACTCTAGGCTCGTGTGGAGGAGCTGGAGGAAGAGCTGGAAGCAGAGCGAGCTGCTCGAGCCAAGGTGGAGAAGCAGAGGGCAGACTTGGCCCGAGAGCTGGAGGAGATCAGTGAGAGGCTGGAGGAGGCTGGAGGAGCCACAGCCGCACAGATCGAGATGAACAAGAAGAGGGAGGCCGAGTTCCAGAAACTCCGCAGAGACCTTGAAGAGGCCACTCTGCACCACGAAGCTACCACTGCTACACTCAGGAAGAAACAAGCCGACACTGTTGCTGACCTGGGAGAGCAGATCGACAACCTGCAGAGGGTCAAGCAGAAACTGGAGAAGGAGAAGAGTGAGCTCAAACTGGAGCTTGATGATGTCGTCTCCAATATGGAACATATTGTCAAGTCCAAGGTATGTATGACTGGGTTGTTCTCTTTATAATGATAATTAAATATCTTACTGGTGGTAAACAGGATTTTTAAACTTTGTACTTTTTCTTTTCCAAGACTATCTTGGAAAAAACATGCAGGACTTTAGAAGATCAAATGAGTGAATACAGGACTAAATGTGATGAATACCAAAGGTCCCTGAATGACACCACTACCCAGAAAGCCAAACTTCAAGCTGAGAACGGTTAGTCTTTGCCACGTGCAAAACCAGAAGTATTTCATTAAGATGCATTTGATACCCATGTTTCTTCTTTACAGATGAACTTTCAAGACAAATGGAGGAGAAAGAATCTCTTATTTCTCAGCTGACAAGAGGAAAGAATTCCTATAATCAACAAATGGAAGACTTAAAAAGACAACTAGAGGAGGAAGTAAAGGTCTGAATAAACACTATATATGTTTCTTATATAATGTCAATTCACAACAAATATCTCAGGGCAGTGTAAAAAGAGTTAAAAAAAATAAATAATAGTAAAAAAATAGTAAAAGTTGTCCATATAGGAATGTCAGCAAAAATCAAAGTCAATCTTGACTTTGTCCAAGTCTCTCACCTTTATCTCAAAAGTTGTTCAAAACATACCGGGAACATTATCTTTTTCTATCCAGGCCAAGAATGCATTAGCYCATGCTGTGCAGTCTGCTCGTCATGACTGTGACCTCCTCAGGGAGCAGTATGAGGAGGAGCAGGAGGCCAAGGSTGAACTGCAGCGTGGCATGTCCAAGGCCAACACTGAGGTGGCTCAGTGGAGAACCAAGTATGAAACTGATGCCATCCAGAGGACCGAGGAACTGGAAGAAGCAAAGTGAGTCAAACTTGTTTAACTTGATCAWCTCTGCACCATATAAAACCATCTAACTGTGGATCATTTCTCTGTAATACAGAAAGAAGCTGGCTCAGCGTCTGCAGGAGGCTGAGGAGGCTGTTGAAGCAGTGAATGCTAAATGTTCCTCTCTGGAGAAGACCAAACACAGACTGCAGAATGAGATTGAAGATCTCATGGTGGACGTGGAGAGGTCTAATGCTGCTGCTGCTGCTCTGGACAAGAAGCAAAGAAACTTTGACAAAGTACGTTACTTTTAATTTTAAACGTGTGTGTTTCACATATATTGAAAATAAAATRGCTGTCTTGTCAATAGTTAACATCTTAACATGAATCTCCAGGTCCTGTCTGAATGGAAGCAGAAATATGAGGAGTCTCAGTGTGAGTTGGAGAGCTCCCAGAAGGAAGCCCGCTCTCTGAGCACGGAGCTCTTCAAACTCAAAAACTCCTATGAAGAGTGTCTGGAGCATCTGGAGACCATGAAGAGGGAGAATAAGAACCTACAAGGTAATAAACTACTGAATGTGCTTGCACCAAACCAAACCATTGATGATGCCAATAATTAAAACAAATAAATAAAAATGCATCTGTTTACCTACACAGAGGAAATTTCTGACCTCACTGAGCAACTTGGTGAAGGGGGGAAAACCATTCATGAGCTGGAGAAGGCCCGCAAGCAGCTGGAGCAAGAAAAGAGTGAGATTCAGTCTGCCCTGGAAGAGGCAGAGGTAAGACTACAACAAATCTTCAACTTTCTATGACAATTAAAAAAAAAGGCAAATTTACAGATTTTTTTTATAAATATCAATTTTGACAAAGACCTGCTGTTTTCCTAAGGGTTCTCTTGAGCATGAGGAGGGCAAGATACTGAGAGTCCAACTAGAGTTCAACCAGATCAAAGCAGAAATGGAGCGTAAACTGTCTGAGAAGGACGAAGAGATGGAGCAGTGCAAGAGGAACATGCAGAGGACCATCGACACCCTGCAGAGCTCTCTTGAGGCCGAGTGTCGCAGCAGGAATGAAGCCCTCCGCTTGAAAAAGAAGATGGAGGGAGACCTGAACGAGATGGAGATCCAGCTGAGCCAAGCCAACAGGCAGGCAGCTGAGGCTCAGAAACAACTCAAAGCTGTTCATGCACATCTAAAGGTAAACTACAAACAGGAAACATTCAGTTTCCAAGAGTTCATAGTTATCATTGTTTTGTGGTTTGTGTTCTTCCATAAAGGATTGCCAAATTCAGCTGGACGAGTCGGTTCGGGCTAATGA